TGTTTCTTTTTGTAGCTTGGTTTTCATTTTTCAATGTGGTTTCCTTCCAATGGCTAGTGATCCTTGGTTATCTGTTCTCATTTAAAAGAGTAATATTAACTGCTGACTGAAAGTTCCATGTGCTGACAGGGCTTGTAACAATCATTGGCTTTACTGTTTCATTACTGGCTATGCTGTTTCAATTGAGTACTAACAGCTGTTAATTTTCTACTGGGCTGGTCATATTTCCCACCAAAAAATCTTTTAGTCTCCTGCCAGTACTTGTGAGGCACACACGGGAAGGAGGCTTGGAGTCTTGGTGCTTGATATACAGACTATTACTTAATTTCTGTTATTAATACCCTTTCTTCAACTGTGTCTAGTGTCCTCTTCCCCTAGCCTATCCCCTAATCCGAATTCCTATTTGTCTTCTCCACAGAATAAACTTTTGGTCTTCTGAGAAAGAGCAACAAATGTCTGTCTACAGTAGGGGAGGGAATACAGATATTTCTTGAGCAGAATTTCAATTAATCTTCCTATTTTCTACTTTTATCATGAGAACTATATACTGCAGCCAATTTCAGTCTTCCTCAAGTTTTTAGGGGAAACTGGGTAGTTTCTTTGCTTGCTCTGTAGCTTTTTCAGATTGCTCAGTCACTAATGTTTTTGCCTTCCAAACTTTTGCAGTTTGGTTTTTCTGATCAGAGTCCTTGGGAATTATATGTTAAAATTCTCTTGGTAATTTTAGTTGAGTTTACAGGAGGAGGAAATAAAAGGTATTTTCAGTACCTGCTGCCTTTTTAATTGATGTTTTGTATTGCCTTAACCCTCTCAACTTCATAAATCCACAAAAAATTAGAACACAATCTGTTTGTCTACTTTACAAAGCTGTCATGAAACTAAAAAATGGTGAACAGCACTATAAAATACTATTAAAGAAGTGAATTACTTAATCCCGATACAGGTTTTCAAACAGGAAAGTGTTAACTTCTTTAATACATATTGGTACTGTTAGTTTTAGAAATAATAATGTTTAAAAATCACATTTTTCTTGTACTAGATTTTTTTAAAAATTAAGCATATCTTACCTAAAGGGTCCACAGGTAACTGGCTCTAAAGAAACATGATGCATGAACAATCTTCTATCTTTTATTATGCCTGAAAAATATTTTATATTATTAATGAAAAGCTACTAGGAAATTTTATTTTCTATTTGTTTATTACGTGTTATATTCACACAAAAATTTTCAAAGATTTTAAATTTTTCATGGATATTTAGTAAGTAGTAATTATAAAAAGAAGTCAGGTATTGGTGGCTCATGCCTGTAATCCTAGTGACTTGGGAGACTAAGATCAGGAGGATCGTGGTTCATAGTCAGCCTGGGCATATAGTTCATGAGATCCGGGTCTCCAAAGTAACCACAGCAAAATGGACTGGAGGTGAGTCTTAAGCAGTAGAGTGGCTGCATTGCAAGCACAAAGCCCTAAGTTCAAATCCCACTACCATAAAAAAAAAAAATAAATCAGTCAAAATAAATCTGATCAATTATGAGTATATACCAAATCGATTATGAGTATATACCAAATAACTCACAGTGCAAACATTAAAAAATCAGTTATAAATTAATCAGCTGATGTTAACAATCATAACTCAATGGTATTAGCTAACTGCCAATGTGTATCAAATCTAGAGGGCTGGTGGAGTGGCTCAAGTGGTAGAGAGCCTGCCTAGCAAGTTCCAAATTTCCATTATTAAGTTGGAGATCCGTTAAAAAAATTCCAAAGTGTTCCCATTTCTTGTGGGATTTATTTCATATATTTCAGAACTAAGCCTCTATAGTTAAATTATCTTTTACTATGTGACCTTTTCTGATCCAAACTCAGAAACCAAGTAGTTACTGAGCATACACAGTTACGTGCATAATTTTCAAATATTCCTCAGTAAGCTTCGGATTTTAGCCTAAAGGAGATACTACCACAGAAGAGTTTTAAGCAACCAAAAGTAACATGATCTGATCATTATGTGATTAGGTGATTCTGGCTGCGGTGTTCAGAACAGTCTGGAGGAGGAGCAAAAACAAAAGTAGGGAGATCGAGCAAGAAGCTATGGATGGCTTGGCCCAGATGAGAGTAGTAATGGTAGGTGAGAAGAAATGATTAAATTCTTGTTTTTGAGACAGCCTCATAATACAGCCCAGGCTAGCCTCAAACTCACTACGTAGCCCAGGCCTCTAAGTGAAGATCCTCCTGCCTCAGATTCCAGAGTGCTTGGATTACAGAGGTATACTACCATACCCAGCAAAATGGGTTTTTGTGGTGCTGGGGATTGAACCCAGGGCCTCATGCATCAAATTCTTACATTTTTGAAGTTAGAACTTACAGGGTTTATTGATGGGTTGGGTGTGGAATATGAGGAAACAAAAGAATAGAATATTAACATCAAGGTTTTGATGTGACCAACCGGCAGAATGGTACTGTCTCTTATTGAGAAAAGATAAGAGAAAGAACAAGTTTGGAGGGGGATAGAATGAAGAGTTCAGCATTGGCCATAAGTTTGAGATACATATCACTAATTCAAGTACAGCTATATTAAGTAGGCAAAAGAATGAGTCTGGAGTTCAGGGGGAAGCTAAAGCTGAAGATGTAACATTGGTAGCTAGTGAAATTTAAGCAGAGAAGAGATCCAAGCGTCCCTGGGGTGCTTTTGTTTACAGCAAGCAAAGAATAAGGAAGAACCATAAAGAATACTGTGAGAGAGTAGCCACCTAAGAGGACAACCAAGAGACTGATGGGCTGGAGAAGAGTGATCAACTACATCTAATGTGGTTAAAAGATAGAGTCAAATAAGAATTGAGAAATGCTCACTTGTCTTGACAACACAGAGACCATCATATGACTTAAAAAAGACTGATTTTAGTGGAATGGTGGTAGTCAAAATCTGACTGGACTCAGGAACCTGAGATTGAAATTTATTATAGTATAAGTTTTTACTAAATTTTAGCATTTTTTTAAAATTAAAAAGTCACTATTTTAGAGTCATTTCACACTTTCCAATTTCAGACAACTTCAGCATCATACTGCGTTATTACAAAGGAAAAGTCCACTTAACAAACAAGATGTAAATTTAACAATTAAACCACACTATAAATCTTTCCGAACAGATACACCCAAAAGAAGTGAGAAAGATAACTTTAAGAATGTTTTGCATAGACCAATAGAAGGGAAAAAAAATCAATAAAAAGCATATTTTACCATCTGGAGTGCTTTTTGAAGCCTTTAAGGATTTTTCTTTATTTTCTATTATTTTGTCAAATTCATTTAACAAGCTCCTTTTGATTGGTGGTTCTCCTAAAAAAGAAATTCCCACACATATTTGTAAAGTATACCAATTTTATTAAGAGCCTGTAGTTCATTTTTAAAAAGTAGAAAACTGACTCTTATAGTATGTTAAAATACATAATAATCATAATTTTAAAAAGCAACTATTCTACTTTGAAAGAGAAAATTGTTTTTTTGATATTAATTTTATTTGTAATACTTTTTTGGTGGTACTGAGGTTTGAACTTAGGCCTTCATGCTCGCTAGGCAGGCGCTCTACTACTTGAGCCACTCCACCAGCTGTGTTACTTTTTGACCATTTAAAAATACACTATTTAATAGGGTCTATGAGGCAAACAGACATTATTACATTACCACATGATAAGCTACTGTTTAATAAACTGGCATTAAATGAAACTTAAGTTTACTGGAAATAAGGACATACAAAATTTCTTCAAATGATTTTTTTAGAGGGACATAAAACTCAAAGATGTATATATTATCTAGATGCATGGATTAGAGTAAGTAGGAGAGTAGACTTTTAAATATTACAAAATTACACTGAAACATAGTAGTAGTAACATTTATTTAAAAATTCTATGAGGCTAAGATGAAACCATAACTCAAGCAATACGTTTCCATGTCATACTGAGCTAAGTGGCTACAAGCACTTTGTTTTTTGCTAGGGAATGAATTTGTAGGATTTAATAAGTAAAAATATCCCTACAAGGCTTGATCTACTTTAGAAGGTAGTTTAATTGTTCAACAAGATTTTGTACTGTTCAAATAACCAGAAGCTGATGAAGCTACATATTCACATATAACAGAAGTGAGGGAAATTAAATAGTAACACTTTTGAGAATGTTTAGAAGTTCAACTTGTTTTATTTTAGGCAGAAGGTAACCCATTTCAGAGTACACACAGACCAAAATGGGTTGCTATGGATAAAAATAATAATTTTCCACAAAAGAATTATGAATACCTTAAGGCATATGCACTTCAGAAGTTTGTATTAAAGAACAGCAAATAATTTAAGGTTATTATAAACTTAGGCCTGCTTAACTCCACATAGAATGTGACTTGAATAACACTTGATGAAAGAAAGTCTGTATCTAGTAGGATGACTTAGAATGAACTGATTATTGCTTCAGTGTCTTTCTTAGTGATATGATGGGGCTGGACAAGAAGATATTTGGTAACTTGAATATTCTACTGATAGTTTTAAAAGGAGCTAGTTATTTCAATATTATCCACTTAAGAAACGGAGAGTGAGTTTTGACATTTAATTGTAACTAGTCAACAGATTTGAAAATTTAAGATTTTTCTTAGAGACATTACCAAAACAAACAAATAAACAAAGCCCCAAATGCCACACATCTGATTACCTAATGAACTAAGATGTTAGACATACATTAAAAAGAGAAGTTAGGCCTGGGGGCATGGCTCAAAAGTTCAATCCCCAGTACGGCCAAAAATAGAAAGAATGTAGTTCCAATGGCATTACAATCAAGCTATTAGTTGATAACTCCATCTGTTGTTAGAATACTTCCAAGATAAAAAAAAACAGGAAGCAAGCCAACACTTACTGGACACTCTCTGCCCAGTGTATATCAGGTTCAGTGTTAAGTAATTTGGATACACTATTTTATGTTCACAATTATTCTGAGGGAAGTTTTGTCTGCACTTTATAGATATGGAAACTGAGGCTCAGGGAAAGTAAGTAGTATAAAATAAGTAGTACAGCTAAGTAAGTATATATAACTCAGTAGGTGATACAACTTCAAACCAACTTTTAAAGTTTTAAGAGCCAAAGTTGGAACCACTCTGCTACGTAAATGAAACAGTTAGTAGGTTAGCATTACACAGGCTTTACTAAAACTCAAACTTTTAACAGTAATTTCTCAATTACATTAATAACCTCTAAAAACACATTGAGAGTCTCAAACTGTGACTTCTTAGAACACATTTACAGGTATCAGGAGTCAAACCATACTCCCCCCAAACACTACAGAAAAATGTCTAATTATTAGCATGCCAGAACTATTACAGATTGAACACTCGTAAAACAAAGAATTGGCAAACCAAAAGGTAAAAAAAGAAAAAAAGCTTACCAATTGAATCAAGGGCAACTCCTCTTTTTTTCCTATTTCTTGAATTTAGCAAAACCATTTCCTCATTTTTTGGGTATGCAAACAATGAGTGTTTGGCATGAGTTGGTTGTTCAGGATCTGTCAGCTCGCCATCTTCCATAAAAGCTTTGGCAATCTCCACTGCTTCTATTTCAAAACAGTTTTCTGGATCTCTGGAGTAAGCAGAACATACTTCTGCATTTGTTTTCATAGGAACATGAGAAAAAGTTTCAGTTTTACCAATTTTCATGTTTTTAGGTAAAGCTTGTTCTTTTCCCAAAACAGCAGTGTTCTCAACAAGTGACACTTTGTTTCCTAGTGTCAACTGTTGGTCTTGCTTAAACTGAGACAGACATGGAGAAATTTTAGAGTGATTATCTTCTGAAGAACCACTTTCAATACTAGAGTTAGCTGACAATTTAAATTCATGATTGTACACCTTTTGGATTTTAGAGTTTACAGAGCGTTCTGGAGCTTTCTCATCACCACAAGTAAGTATTTTTGATACATCTTGTCTGGATGTAGGTGAATGCTGATGAGTATGTCCAGCTTTGATTGAGTCAAATTCCTCAAACATTCCCTTAACTTTGTGTAAGGCACTTTCTGAAATTGTAACCTGTTTTCCACTTGCTGTATTAAATCCAAAGAAAGCAGATGAATTTACATTATATGAAAAGGTTTTTTGGGGTGACAGTACATTCTGAGGGGTATGCACCATAGTATTTTCTTCTCTTGTGAACTGCTTGGAATGCTCATTATTAAGTGATACTGCGGAAGAGCGCTGCTTAGCACTATCTTCTATCTCAGAAAACACCTGTCTTGCCTTTCGTAATGAAGCATCTGATACTTGGACAGATTTTCCACTTGCTGTGCTAAAAATCCCATAAGCATTTGTAGATGAGATTGACTGGGGAAAGTCCCCTATATTAAATTTACGTTTATCAGATGTTTTCAAACCAACATGACAAAGTGGTATTTCAGAATCTTTCTCCCGTCCAGATGTACTTTGGTTATGCTGCAAAATTTGTTTACTTTGAATGTCAGCAAGAACCTTATGTGAATCTGTACATTCTTCATCATCAGAGTTCGGGATATCAATATCCTCTGAATTATCCAATACTTCACCTGCCACAATTGTCTGACAAGTACCTGATCTACTCTTAGCACTTTGCTTGATTACCTTATTGCAGTTGCCTGTCAATGTCTCTTCCACTTTTTTTGTTTCATGTGAAATATCACTGGTTATACTGAATGCAGGTGACCCTATCTCAAAATTATTTGAATCAGGTATGCCCAAGTCAATGGCTGTATTTTTGTGTAATGAAGAGTTAGTCACAAGTTTCTGAACACAAATATCTTCATTTACAGTTTGTGGGTATGTACTTGCTTCTCTCACAGTAGATACTTCAGAAATACTAGTGTTTTTGTCATCGACCTTCTCCATGACTGCCTCAATGCCAGAATCAATTTTATTTTTTGAGAAATACCCTGAATCATCATATGCATCATTGGAATGACAAAAATCAAAATGGTATGAGTAGCTGTTACACATGTTATGGTTACTTAAATAAGTCGAATTTTGCTTTTCAGAAAGATGAGTTTTGTCATTTTCAGTTATGATACTATTTGAACTATTTTCATATGAAAGATTTTGTACACAATCCTCAGGATATTCCTTTATACAAACAACCTTGGTGGTATTCGTTTTCTCTGGTTTATTATCTAATTCTTCTGTAAACAATTGTTTTGCTTTAGCAAATGAAGCCTGACTCACAGAAATTTTTCTACCATGTCCTGTGTAAAATCCTAAAGCTGAATCTTCAATGGCTGAATAAGGGGACTGATTTATGCAACAAGCTGTAGAACTTTTTGCTATTTCTTTCTCTAAATTTTCATGTACTTTAAATTTCAAGATACTGTTTGATGTTTTGAGATTTTCAGTTTGTCTATATAAATTATCACTTAACCTGGGTTGCACCTCAGTATCCCTATAAACAAAATTTTTCTCATTATCATCTGAGTTTTTCATTTCTTTATACTTTGGGACAGTTATTTCAATTCTCTCACACAGTAATTCAAGACCTTCTCTATAGTCCTCTCTGTCCTTTAGGGTCTTTGTCCCTTGAAAACTAAAGTTGGTGATTTTACTAACATGTTCTTTCTCAACAAAAAGATTTTTCACTTTGTCCAAAGATTCCTTGGCAATTTTTACTTTCTTCCCACTAGCTGTATGAAAACTCAATAGAGTAGTTTCTTTACTCTTTCTTATTTCACATTTGGGTTGTTGCTGGATAGTCAGTAATTGATTTTCAATACCAATTGGGATATGTTCTTCCAATATTTTGTTTTTAACCAAGTCTGTTTGCTCATGACTTGAAAAGTCTATTTTGTTCTTTATTACACCAGATAGTAATTTAGAATTAATGGAATCTGAAAAGTCACTTGGCTCTTCTGGTTTTTTATCAAAGAAATTTATAACTTTACTAAATGACTCAATGGAGACACTATTATTTTTTCCACTTGCAGTCTGAAAGAATGTACCAAAATTTTTAATGTTTTGCTCCATTTCACCTACAGTTAACTGTTCTTTATTGGAAGAATCAATATGACATGTTTCTTCATCTTTCACAACTTCCAAACAAGTTAAATCTGACAAACTTTCTTTAAGTTGTGTGCTTCTCTGCTTTATAAACTGGCTAGATGATTTAAGATACATATTATGCATATCAGTATATGACAAGTAACTTTCATTGTTATAAACTGTATCATTTTTACTTGAATCACTGCTATCAGATTCTTCTGATATACAAATCTCTCTTCTGACATCAGGACATTTCTTATCTTCACTTTCTGTATTTTCCATGTACTTTTCAGGATTTTCTTCACCAAAACAACCAGAAGTAATTTCAATATTATTTTGTAATATTAGTTGGCATTCATTATTTTTCTCATTTAAATTTTTACTAGTGTTTTGATATTTTATCTTATGCATTGAAACAGAATGACATTTACTTGAAGAAAAACTTCTTGTATCTACTTCTGCATAAGTCTCCTCACTAATATTCTCAATGTCCCTGAACAGTTTCACAGCTTTTTGCAGAGCTTCAGTAGAAACATTCAGTTTTGTGCCAAGAGCAGAATAAAAGCCTGCAAACTCCACTTCATTTTCAGATGTAGTTTTGTTACACTTCTTTTTGAACAAGCAAGCAAACTTTTGTTTAACTCCAACTGCATCTTCAAATTTCTCTCTGCTACCTACCTGACCTATAGATGAGGCATCACTTCTTGTGAGGTGAAGATTAATGTCTTTCCATTTTTCAGAAGTGGTATTTAAGATAACTTTCTGGTTTCCAGGCACTTCAAATGTATTTTTCTGTATGATCTGGCTTGGCTTTCTAAACTGTGTAAATTCAAACTGACTTCCTGACTCTTCTAATATAGTAGAAAGTTCTGTAATTTCGGCCTTTTGGCTAGGTGTTAAATTATGGCTTGAATTAAAATTCTGCTTTAAAGATGACATCTGAGGGGTTCTGTGATTTTCATGATCAGAAATAAATGTGCTATTGTGCACACATGGAGATACAGTATTAACTGACTGCGAATCAAGTTTGCTGAGTTTCTTTGGATTATCTAACAATGAGGTATTTATAATTTCAAAACAAGCTAAATTAATAGGATATTGTTCTTCAATATCTTTGAAGAGCATTTTGCTTTTCTTAATATTATGTTCAGAGAGTTTTATTTCTTTATTGGAAGCTGTTCTGAAGCTACCTCCAAAACTGCAATTTGAAACTGTATCTAAAAGCACTGACCATTTGTTTGCATAATCATTATTTCTGTTTGACTTCGCATCCAAAGAGGTATCCGCGTTTAAATCCTGACTTGTAGTT